ACATACTACACACTGTCCTCGCCGCCTGCACACACAGCGCTGCTAGGTTCATTTCAGACGTACTGGCCTAGAAGTCACACCTCAGTGGAAGTTTGGCAATTAAGAGCCAAAGAAACGTCTGGCAGTTCCACCCAGGTGTATTTGATGGGTATTTCTGGAATGTTTGCCCTTGAGAGGAAGAGAGATCATTCACTTAGAAATACATTTACACACCTGAAATGCAAAGGCATCCCTCTTCGTTCCGAAGAGGTTCCGTCATTAAGCCTTGTGGGATGCCACTTGCCTCAAAGGGCATTCCAAATTAACCAGAGCTACAGAAGACACACCCTTGCATCAGAAAGAGAGAGTCTTGGATGAGCAAAGTCTCCTTTATTTTACAATAAAAACATAAATGATTTGATTCAATTGTTCATGCATTTGTATAGCACTTTTCACAATACAAAGCTTTCTAAAGCTGCACAAATCCAAAGGTGACAATGACAAGAAAAGCCCCCTAGAGGTTTAAGTAAAAATTGGAAAGAACCTTAAAATGCCATTTGAAAAGTCTGTCCTCATACTGTGACAAAATATGTGCACATGGGTGAATGTGAGATAAGTCTCGCACTTGAGACCCTCTATTGCCGACAAACCAGTTTAAACATTTATCCTTATCCCAACATTATATGAACATGCTAACTTGTGAAATCCTGGCTATGAAATTGGCCTTAGCAGGAAGAAGGGGTGGACCATTTGTTTCAGTGTGCAAGAAATGGTGTATTATCACACAAAGGTGTATTTACATAGACTTGTTAATGCTGTATTAATGTAGTTACACAGGAACATTGGCAACTATGTATCACACACTTGAAAGCTGATTGCTGATTTTTATGCACAGCCAACAGATAACAGGATGTGCACTGACTGCCATGAGACTGAAACTGAAATGCAAATGCAAAGCAGTTTACGTATTTGAGTTACCAAAAATGATCAGTACCAAACTACAACTGAGAAAATAAATTTTATACAACCAAAATAAAATGTCCTGGAAACACACTTATACGAGTATGTACGCTAAAATAAATGGAGTAGGATTTTTTTTTTTTAAAAAAGGGAAACTATATATATATATATATATATATAATATATATATATATACTCATTGAAGTAAACAATACATTTTGAAGTAGAAAGACTGAAAGAGTATTTTTTTGTTTATTTTAGTATTTGTTTATCTTTTAAAATAAATAAATAAAATATGACCAGAGCATTGGTATTATGGCAGTTATTTATGAATAATGGAAACACGTATGACATTCCTTGAATTCAAAAGGACAACAATATAACAATTATAAAATGCAAAGTTTGATATTTGATTTCACTCTTTTTTCTCTCACTGTACTTATATTGTGTTATTGTTACACTTTTAAAGATGTACGTGGCAAAAAAAAAAACATTTAGACAACAACATACTGTATGTAGTAGCAGGATGAATGTGAAAATGAGATGTGTATAATATTGCAAAGTGAAGTGCTAAAAAAGCCATAACATGTTTCATAGCGTATGTTTGTTAACACTAAAAAATGTATGTAAAAAAAATACCCACATGTTTATTATGTTAAAAACAACCACATTAAGCATGTAGGATAAAAACATTATCACAACCCATTCGCAGCTCAAAAGTTTTAACAATGTAATTGTGACAGTTTTGTACAGTAGTTATTGGACCTCTGATTTGTGTGTGTGTGTGTGTGTGTGTGTGAGAGTGTGTGAGTGTGTGTGTGTGTGGTGTGTGTCTGTGTCTGTGTCTGTGTGTCTGTGTCTGTGTCTGTGTCTTTGTCTGTGTGCCTGTGCCTGTGCCTGTGTCTGTGTGCGTGTGCCTGTGTCTGTGTCTGTGCCTGTGTATGCACGAGAGAGAGAAAGAGAAAGCTGAAAGGTTCCTGTTTGAGAACTTCAAAAGCGTAAAGTCTTTGGGTTTCAAATGTCTTTGCCACACACACACACACCCTCAGCAACACAGGTCTAAGAGGCTGAGCAAGGTATCTCTCCCCTAATCTTCAACACAACGTTCAAAATGTCCGTCAATCAGATCAGAGTCGTTCTCACACCCACCACTCAAAACACCTGATGAGAGCACAGCCTGAGAAACAAATGAAAAGGACAAGAAATATGGCAGACAGATTTCTGCAATGAAAATTGGGCTTATTCCTAGTTCATCGTTAATATTATACTTGAGATTTATTACCTTATTATTATTGTTATATTACCTTTGGTTTTTTGACCATAAGAAAGAATCCTACTCTGTCATAATACGAAATTACATTTAGTCATTAGAGCACACTTACGGCTGTTCGGAGTAACCTTCGTTCCCTTCAAAGTAATGCTCATTGAGAGGCAATGATGTCCGTACATCCCAGTTACTACAGTTACTAACTAATCAAGCATTTTCTGGCAAAGGGACAGAGAATGGATTTTATCTTCAGATAAAGGGTGACTCTCCTCATTGTGGAAATGACGTAACCCACAGTGTTTCACTAAATGTCAGAGAGAATCCTCACGATCACTGGCTGACGCTCCTGTAGCATTTTGTGTTTTGGTGATTGTTTCAGAAAAAAAAATAATAAAAAAAATCTGGGAGAATTACAGAAGGAAGATCATATAAGGCAGAGATGATAATGTTTTAAATGATGCTGGGTTGGGTTCATAAAGTGAGGCCAAATAAAGTTATAATTGGTTCTGAGTCAGTGGTGGAGTTTAAAATAATTTTCAGGCAAATCAAAGTGAAGTCTTAACAGAAATTATGATTACAATACAGTTTAAGGCAGCTTGGAATATTAACTAATTTTATGTGGGTAAAAGAACATTTTGGAATTCGGGGAAATGAAGAAGCAGACAAAATGGCCCAAAATCAATAAGGCTGGAAGATCCAAAAAGCAATATTAAACTCAGCAGAACAGCAGGAAAGCATTTAATATTAGAAGCATGCAATGGAAAATGGAAGTACTGGTGGGAGACATGCCAGACTGAGCAATATTATCATTAGATACAAAGGAGCATAAAGAAAAGTAAAATCACTCATAAGTAGAGTGGCGCTACTTATTTTTTACACATCTGAGAACGGGACATTGGAACCTTAACTCTACATTACATATCACAGGGACACATGAAACAGCATTATGTGAGGTTTGCCAAGTAGAAGAAGAGTAGAACATGCAATAATGTTATGACCTTTATATGAAAGGAGAAATCTTAGTGAAGACATCAGGATGGCAAGAATTCATAATAGTTAGCATTTTAGATAAGTCCAAATAAATGAATGAATGAATAAATGAATGAATCAAATAAGGAATGCAATAATGAAATTAATTAGGATCAATGGCCTTGAATGTAGGAAATAAGGAATATTTTCACATATAGAAGTAATTCTGTAGACACTCCATCACAGTAGGTGGTGGTATATACTTAAGTCGGTTTGCAACATAAAACCAAAGAATAAGGCTGTGTTACAGTCCATTTTTTATGCCTTTCACTCGCTAGCTTCCCTCCATCTCGTTCACTCGGATATACGTTATTGATTACGTTACACGAGTGCCCACTTCTGGCGGAACCCTTGGAATGGGCTGAACTGGAACGACTTAAGCCCTTGATCACTTAGAATCCGCTATAGAGTTGGTTTATTGTTCACATTTTTCCCCTTACGGATGTGTTTGGTGCAGCATTCTATATGTATATAGGTATGCTCGGGCTGTTATAAATGTTTAAAAAAATCATTTATATATTGTAGAGTTGTTTGGGGTGGGGATAAATAAAACGCGATCTGCGATGACGTCATAGTCGTGTTGCATTGTGGTCTGTGGAGCGGCCTGAAGTGTGCATATAAAGCAGACTCGCTCCCCCGGTCAAAATCGAGGGGTCGAGGGCAGATGAAGCAGAAAAAAAAAACAGCATAAAAATCGGTATAAAAACCCTGAATAGTTACGCCCAAGTTTTTCTTTAGAACAGGTAATGTAATGAATTATTATGTAGACTGTTGGAACATCATATACTGCAGAGATAATAGTGTTTTTTTTTTGCTCTCTAAAACTCACTGATATTAGTTAAATAAAATTCAATGCCGATCATGGTGATCCACGAAGACAGATGACATTGCAGCATCTTAAACCATTGTGTTATTGATGTGAAATTTGACATACACAAAGAGCAGCAATGCTAATGTCAGCTAGCTAAATAACTACTGAATGCACCTTCAACAATTCTTTTAAAGCACTACATGAACTGGAACATAGACTGTGAGGGTCCCGGCAAGTTTCGAGAGCTGTAAATAAACAGTACACAATAATAGTTCCTGGAATGGAATAGTAAGTTAGCAAGTGCAAGTTTAAGCACTGGCCTAAAGTATCAGGTTGTTAAGTCAAAATTTAATTTGAAAAAAAAAAAGTAATTTTGTCAGATGTTGTCTTCGTTTGCTTCCACAGAAAAGATACCAGCTTACAGGTTTGGAATAACACCAGGGTGAGCAAATGATAACATAATGTTTGGGTAAACTATCGCTTTAAGAACATTAATTTAATTCCTCTAAACACACAACAATAAACACTTCCAAATTAGCTTCAAATAGTTGAAACAAGAATCATCCATGAACACATGCATGGACCTGATGGACCTGTGTCTAAAGCTGTGTTTGTGGTGAGAGGGCTTGGGATACAGATGTCATTGGTCACAATGTTTCTGCTTCTGGGGCTGGACAGGCTTTCGGGAAGTGATAAGTGTGTTCTGACTGTCATGGCTCTGAGGTCAGCGTTCGAGACGCTGGTTTGAACCGCGGCGCTTTACAAGATTCCAACTATGTGAGATGCTCCATACAGTCATCTCTGGGGAAGCCACCACAGTCCGGGTGTGACACACACACACACACACACACACACACACAGACACACACACACACTGGTTTCCATTTTTTGTAGGGACTCTCCATAGGCGTAATGGTTTTCATACTGTACAAACCGTATTTTCTATCGCCCTACACCAACCCTACACCTAAACCTACCCCTTACAGAAAACATTCTGCTATTTCAGATTTTCAACACACTCCATTTTGTGTGATATATAAGCTTGTTTCCTCATGGGGACCAAAAAATGTCCCCACAAGCTCCAAATTTACTGGTATCACTATACTTGTGGGGACAATTGGTCCCCATAACGTGATGAATACCAGGTACACACACACACACACACACACACACACACACACACACACACACAAACATACATACATACATATATATGATCTATGTATTTCAAAATTATTAAAGTCTGTCAGGTAACTCATGCATTTCAATCAATCTGCTGTTTTATTTCAACAGTTACTCCTGGTCAGAGGCGTCCATATAAATATATTATTATTTTTTTTTTTATGTAGAGCTACATTTAAACTAAGTTTAATGGTGCAATACAAAACTGTTTAGTAGTGTGTATAAGTTGTAACTTAGTGATCTAGGTGATTCCCAGCTAACAGGAAACTGTAGGTTTTATTTATTTATTTTTTTTTTTTAGATATTATGTAAATGTTAGGACAAAACATTCTTAAAGTAATGTTTATGGAACATTCGTACAACATTACCAATATTTGATATACATTCTCATAACATTGAGAAAAAAAAAGTTCTTAGAATAACATTTATTTGGTGGGGGTGCTGAAGGTTAGGACGATTCCAAAGGCCCGACGAGAGAGGGGGGGCCCTGAACTTGATCTTTAATGATCTTTAATAAGGATTGAGAACGCACACCCAGTATACTTACGGACTGCGCTTCTGATCGTGCGAGCTCTCTGTGGCATTGCTTTTGCGTCTACACATGTGGCTGAAGTAAGACTAATCACTAAGTCTGTGTTTATGCGTGTGCATGTGTGTTTGCGAGCGAGCAGTCGGACCCTGCCCTGAGGGACAGACATCGCACTGCACTACATCCATCATAAAGATTTTTTAAAGAAGCAATTTTAATATGCATGTGTGTGCGAGAGTTTATTGGGAATGCATGCGTCTTTGTGTTTGTGTGTGTCGGAGTGCGCTGTAGGACCCACCCAGGGGACAACAAAGCAGCACCTCGTTTCACATGAAAAGCTGGAGGCTCACAGGGAAGTGTGTGTGTGTGTGTGTGTGTGTGTGTGTGTGTGTGGTGTATACTGTCTCCCTCTTTCTTTCTCCTTTCTCTACCCCCTACCCCAACAACCCTTCCAAATAAATAAGAATTTTTGATTACAGTAACAAGCCCATAAATTATGCAGGCCAGCAGCCGATGAAGAGCGTTTGAAAGACGGGCTGTTTTAACCTTTTCCTTCCTCACTCTGTCTGTCTCTCTCTCAGGGCCGGGGAGAGATGCAAGTATGAGCCAAGATAGAAGATGGTACATTTTAGGAATGGGTCAAGTAGTCAGTCAATTAGAGAAGCTGACTAGTTGATCTAGATTTTTAACTCATTTTTGTGCTAGATAAATTCATCTAAATGGACGATGTTTGTCAAATTAATTCTAATTCAGTGCTTCCTTAAAGTACATCCTTACGCCATTCCAAACCTGTATGTATTTTTTTTTATATATTTTGAAGAATATTGGAAACCAAACATTGACTTTCATTTCTAAAAAAATTATCCTTTAATGTTCCACAAAAGAAAGAATGTCATACAGGTTTGGAATGAGGGTGAAGTAAATGATGACAGAATTTTCATTTTAGGTGAAGCATCCCTTTAAGACTAGTCATTTTTTACATTTCGTTCAGTGAAAGTGTGTTAGAGGGCAGCGTGTCCTTTGTGTGACAGTAGCTGACAAGTATCCCTGCTTTAATCGCAAGTGTGTTGTAGATATTACAGTTACATTCAGTAGTTTGGTGCTAATTTTCAAAGTACTTTTGTGAAGAGTGCACTCACATGAGATGGAAACTTAGTTTTCTATAAAAAGTGTTTTAATTATGTATGAAGCAGGTCACTCCACTCAATGTATAGACCACGTGTCAGAGAAACACGTGCGCAGCCATCTTTAGAATTCTGTCTTTGAACTTCAGTTTTTGCGGTAGCTCTATAGCATCACTGTTGAAGAATAATTAGCTGGTGAAGTGGATTTACTTTATTGCAGACTTAAAGAAAGTTATCATGTGCATTATAATGTTCGAAGTGGAATGCATGACATATGTCAGTAGACCGGGATTTTAAAACGAGCGGTTCATTTATAAATTCGTACATCCTTACCTTCACACTGAAATACAAGCCGGAAGACAGAAGACAACAAGTGCAGCGCTGAAAAGGGGCGGAGCTACATAAGGTCTATTGGAACATGTTGAAATGACACGATCCACAGTGTTTCACTAAACGTGGGAGACAATCTTCATACCTCTGTAGATACGATAGTAGCATAGTATATTTTAGTGACACGAAGAGTAAAAATTAGACAACGGGAAAGTGATGCTCAAGTTGCTTCTTTTTAGGTAAAGAAATTCATTATTATGTAGATTAATGTGTAAAATGTCATTTACATATTTATTGGTGCTGTATGTAATTTTTTGACTGTACTACAGCATAAAAATATCATATTATGTTTGCAGATATTTAGGAAACATGCTAAGTTCACATACTTGTTTCTCCGAAAAACAATGCTACAGCCAGCTATTTGACTTTAACTGTGCGTTCCGTGTCGGAATGTCTGTTTTTGTTTTGGTCTGTGTGACTCCGCCCACTGGCAATTTACTGAATAGTATTTCGACATCCAGGTTGCCAGTTGGTGGAAAACACAACGAACTGCAGACATGTAAGCCAGCAAACGAACTGGGTCAGAGACTGCAGATTCTACCCGACCCAAAAATCCTCAGCATCCAACTTAAAAGCTCTATAAACGGGATTTTTAAAACACGGATAAAAAAAATCCTGAAAAAAATCAACTCATCAGCTTACAGTGTAAGCCTCGCCTTCCATTGTCAATTACGCTCGTTCCTGTTGCGTCTCTTCCAATCAGGCAATCCGCATGAGCGTCGAGTCTGAGGAGGAGAAACAACTCAATCCAATATTTTGAATTTGGACTGCAGTATCCATTTCAACCACTAGCTGTCAATATTACATGCAGCACCTATAAAGTACAACAGCAATGCTAATGCTAACTAGAGAACTACTAAATGCCTCTTTTTTGGGGTGTACTGTAATCGCAATTTCTGTATATGAGCATAAATGTCTCTGATATGGTGTATAAAGAAGCTTGTGCAAATTTCAAATCACAGAGACCGCTGGGATATTCAAACTTTAGCATGACAGTATCATAACCCCGCTTGCAAATGCATGTCTGTGTAACATGATATACTGTACATGTTACCACCCATCCCCCTTTACAGAAACACACACACAAATGAAGACACCACACACCCAAGCATTCTCACACACACACTAAGACACTTGAGGCAATTTGACGCCTTCTCGAACCCCATTTGCCAGTACAAAGAGGCATTGTTAGTAAGTAATGTTAATGAGCTCAATATGCCCTCAACTGGAATGTGTGAAAGCAGAGGCCCAGGCTTTGTGTGTGTGTGTGTGTACCCTCATTCCCACATCTTTAAAGGAGTTGCCACCCCCTCACTCACTCTCTGAACATGACTGGCATACAGACAGTTGGCAGAGGGGGCAGTCAGTCGAACACAAGCTAGCATGTGTTTGTGATGGTCATGCACATCGGCAAACACACAACAAGTACACCAGCTCCAATCATGGATGCCCCATGGAACTTGACTTAAGTTTGATCATTCACCAGAATGCACAAACCTATCATGCACAACTGGCAGAACATTCTTTGTCTGATTTCAATGCTGTCCCTGAAACTACAATCACAGCCCTAAATATAACCGTAGAACAAGATATAATGATCAATCAACTATAGATCTAACCCTAAAACCAGAGGGCAAAAATAGGACTGGGAATAGTCAACTTACAATTCTTCTTAATAATTCCAGTTCCTTAAAGCTTTTTAGAACTTTAAAGGTAAAAGCAATGTAATTCCATTGCTAAATGATAATATATAATATATTCAAAACAAGTTTTGCAAGAGGTGTTTTACCCAAACAATTTAAATGCCATAAATGCAATTCAAAAATAGTCCTTAAACAATTGCTGTTAATAAAACAAAAAATGTGCTCACATATGTAATTCCTTAATATTTTAGTTTTTTATACTTAACTACACGTTGTTAGGTGAACAACCAGTCAGAAACTAAAAATAAAGCATGAAAGTACACAACTAACTAAAACACTAACAATTTTACAAAGTGGTGATTTCAAATGAATTTGCACAATGTGATTTGTAAAGAAATGTAATATATTTATTAAAAATAAATAAATAAATAATATTAGGCATGATGTCCATAATATTAAGCATGATTGCCAGAGAGTGTTGGTTAGTTGTAGGCTGTATATGTTTTTGATTCACTGAAAGGAACCAACTCATTATTTGTCATTTGTTCAGGAATTCGACTAAACTGGTTACACTGTATGTTTCTGATTAACAGAAAAAAAAAAATCAGCTAATAAAAATCATGCATAAGTATCCCAGGAATACACTTTCTGAATATTTTAATTCAGTGTTCGGTCATACTTTCGTTTGGGGACCAGTTCTCACTATTAACTTTGACTTTTGCCTCAATAAACTACTAATTTGCTGCTTATTAATATTTAGTAAGTTAGTCGTTGAGCTTAGGTATGGGGTGGATTAAGGGATCTAAAATACAGTCATGCAGAAGAAGGCATTAATATGTGCTAATAAACAGCCAATATGCTAGTAATATGCATGCTAATAAGCTTCTGGTTCTAGTGAGAATTGGTCCCTAAACGAAAATGTTACACGGTATTCGGTCAGCATCGGTAAACATGCAAGAACATAATTTTAATTCCAGTTTTTTTTTTTCTGAATAAAATCCAGATCTTAGTTCCAAACATCAAAAAATCTTAAAAGGCAGAGAGCCTAAAATCAATATAAACAGAAGGTCAACCATATTGCTTGTCGCATGAGAACAAACCCCGCTGATTCCTTTGCATCAAACCAGCATGTTTGCGCTTCTGTTTACCATTTGATTACTCTATGTGCCTTGATCAATGTTTATATATGAATAAATGTCTAAATTAAATCAGTTCACAGTACTGATTTAAAGTGATTGTATCTCTTTAGGAAACATATTGAAGTGCTCAATTCATGTGGATTTCTTTTACAGTCGTTTTTGAAGTACAGAAGTGTCATGTTTTTGGTGGAATCGACTTTTAATGAAATCTCTCAGGTTTCATTAAAAGTATTTTCATTTGATATTTTTAATGAACAAATGTCTTGAACAAAATAATCAAAAGTCTTATGAGACATGAGGGTGATTAATGACAGAATTATTGACGATGGCGCCGACGGTGATGGCTGCCTCCGTGGCGTGCTCCGCAGTTGTTTTTATGTTTTTGTTAGTTTGTCCTGTCTTTAGTTATATCCCTGCAATCACCAGAGACGAATTGCTGGACATTCGGCAGTACACACCACCCGATATTTCACCGGTTTTCGACTATTCTGATGTTTTGCTGGACATTGTAGTCGGGGGAGCTGTGGCGCTGATCAAACGCTTCAGGACGCGCAGACGGGGGAAGCGAGGCGGTGCCCTCGTGAAGCTCAGACAGCGCGGATTCAGGACGCCGTTGCCTAGCCTTCATCTGGCGAACCTCCGCTCTTTACCCAACAAAACGGACGAACTCCTTCTTCTCTCCCGTACAAATAAGGATTTTTCAAACTCTGCTGCTCTGTGTTTCACGGAAACCTGGCTGAAAGACGCCATTCCGGACAGCGTGTTGAGTCTCCCGGGCTTTCAGCTGTTTAGAGCAGATCGCGAAGCAGAATCAACGGGGAAATCGCGCGGCAGCGGGACATGCTTTTACATCAATGAGAGGTGGTGTACAGATGTAACTGTGTTAAAGAAGATGACCTGGCAATAAAGCTCATTCTGATTCTGATTCTGATTCTGAATTGTCTTTTTTTGTGAACTAACCCTTTAAGCAGAAATAATTAATGTGTTTGCAGATGTCATGAAAGACTGCATTGCTGTTAACCTTTTATTTTGGCTTCTTAATGCCTATGATGATGATGATGATGATGATGATGCTGAAAATAAAACTGTTCTCAGAGAGGAATCAGGTGTGTGAATCCCCAAACCTTCTCCTGAACAACACACAACACACAACAAACCTTCACCTAAGACTTGTTTGTATATTAACTCTTCTGTTGCATGGGGTTGGTGACGATACTCCAAAGAACCAAACACTTTTCATCTTTCATTGTAGCTGCCCACTCCTCCAGCCCCCGAACTAACTATTTGCCACAAGTTAAACTCTTTTTTTTTGTGTGTGTGTGTGTGTGTGTGTGTGTGTGTGTGTTTAGAATTTCCTTCTATTCTCGTGCATGTGGCTTTATTTCTTCCCTGCGCTGCTCTCAGGCCCCAAAAATAGTCCAAAAAGTCTCTAGTTATGAAAGAATTTCTCTGTTCAAAGGGAATATCTGAAACCCCGAGCATTCAGTTCCGTCTGGCTTTGGTTTGAACTTTTACGAGCGATCTTTCATTCTGGTTTGCTCTTGTTTTCCTCTCCGAAACTTTCTCTCTCTACCCACTCTCTGTTTTTCAGCGGACACCCCTAGCCATTAAACCATTTTTTTTACTCTGTTCGGCCAATTTATGTTGGTTAATTTAGCGTAAAACGAGACAGCGGCCGAGGCAGTGGTAGCGGTGGAGGCCTTATGCTGAAATCCACGAGATGAGCACCGCGTGTCTCGCGCTGCGAGGGGCTGCGGGTGGTCCGTGCCCGCCAATCATCACACGCCGCAGCAGCGGGAGACTGGAGAAAAAGAGATGTTTTAAGAAAAACTGATTCTTACACTGTGCAGGATTGAGTCCTAATGTACATGTTTGTATATCACTGTAGATTCATCATGCAATGGTTAAAATTACATGGTTATTAAATATATCTTGTTTTTTTTTATTCTTGTGCTTTGTTGTACCTTAATTTTAATCAACTGTAGGTTTGCAGTCATAATGATGTACATAAAAATGGTTCTAAATGGTACCAGATTAGGGTTCTTCAGCTTGTAATAGCAGAACTCTTCTTTTTATAAGGTTCTGAACTATGCTATGAAATGTTGCATATTGGCTGTTTTGGCAGTTTGCGGGTCTGGAGCCTTCAGGTGTGTGTTAACACAATGTCAAAGAGGAAAGACATCAGCAATGATCTTAGAGAAGCAATTGTTGCTGCCATCAATCTGGGAAGGGTAATACGGCCATTTCCAAACAATTTGAAGTCCATCATTCCACAGTGGGGAAGATTATTCACAAGTGGAAGACATTCAAGACAGACTCCAGTCTTCCCAGGAGTGAACGTCCCAGGAAATTCACCCCATGGTCAGACAGTACAATACTCTGAGAAATTGCAGACAACCCAAGAGCTACACCTGAGGCTCTACGGGCCTCAGTTAAAATGTTAAATTATAAAGTTTGTGACAGTAAAATTAGAAAAAGACCAGACAGGCATGGCATGTTTGGAAGGGTTGCCGGAAGAATGCCTCTTCCCTCTAAAAAGAACATGGCAGGATAGCTTAGGTTTGCAAAGCTGAATCTGAACAAACCATAACACTTCTAGAACAATGTCCTTTGAACAGACGAGACCAAAGTGGAGATGCTTGGCCATAATGCACAGTGCCACATTTGGTGAAAGCCAAAAGAGCATATCAGCACAAACACCTCATTCAAAAGCATGCTGGTGGAGGGATGATTAATTTGGGCTTGTTTTGTAGCCACAGGACCTGGGCACCTCACAGTCATCGAGTCGACCATGAAGTCCTCTGTATACCAAAGTATTCTAGGGTCAAATGTAAGGCCATCCCTCCGACAGCTAAAGCTTGGCCAAAATTGGGTCAACAACTTTTGTTGATCCTGGATCAACATTACTGTCCAAAAATATAGCTGATCGTAAGCCTAAAACAGATATTTCCCAAAAAGTTATCTATCAATTCTGATTGGTTAATTGGAATGTTGATCCAGGAACATGTACTTGGTGAAATCACGGTCACCCAACATGACAATGACCCAACGCACACAGCAGAACTGAGCCCACAGTGGTCGAAGGAGAAAGAGGTGAATGTTCTTGCATGGCCTCGTCAAAGCCCAGACTTAAACCACACTGAAAATCTGTGGAATGACTTGAAGACTGCAGTCCACAAACGCTCACCATCACATTTAACTGAACTTGAGCAGTTCTGAAAAGAAGAGCCAGCAAATATTGCAAAGTCTAGATGTGCAAAGTTAGTAAAGACAAATCCCAACAGACTAAAGGCTGTAATTAAAGCAAAAGGTGCTTCAACAAAATACTGACACAGGGGGGTGATCCTTTTTCCAACTCAGTGATTCTGTTTTTTTTATTAATTAATAAAAAATGTTTATATCATTCACTTGGATGTTGTAAGTTGCACTGAATAAATACAGCTGTAAAAAAAACAGTAACTGTGTCTGTTTTCATTTCAGGCTGCAAAGCAGTGTTAATTTCGTTGACGAATAATTTTCGTAATAATTTTCGTCAACGACATTTTTTTTCACCGACGACAACGAGACGATAACAAACTAAAACTCTTTTTGCATGACAACAACTATGACGAAAATTTATTGACATTTTCGTCAACGAATAAAAACGAGACGAAAATGTTAGGGAGGGACGAACTTGGAAGAGATTTATTTAGAATGAATCTGCTGTGTGGTTCGGAGGTTAGATGCGTATATGAACCGGCGGGACATAAGCTAAAATACACTTGCTGCACGTCTCATAAAACATAAAAAAATGTCAATATGTGGCGAGTAAGAGAAAAGCAGACATATAGATAAATCTGACGACGCAAGAGAGAACTCAATTCGGTCCGGTTTTCTGAGCGCAGACAAAGCGCAAAGCGCGTCTCACAGCGCACGAGTACTCTTTCGCATCGTATGAACGGAGAATTACACACAAAATGATGTCAAATTGTCCGTTTTGACGAGTATTCACGTAAACACAGTTGATTATGCCTTAAGTGAACGTAAACAGTAGGAAGGATGCGTATCAGTACATTGCATCTATTGCAGCCGTGCATTCGGTTTTAAAGGGACAGCAGCATAATTTAGTTGCTATTGTCCGAGTCATTGATATTAATCAAGCAACAAAAGAAACACAGAAAATCACTCACTGCTCTTGACCGAAAAACTTTAATAGCCCTAAAGATTAATCTAAATGTATTTATAGATATAAATATGTCTGATTGAAAGAATGAGGAATATGGTAAACAAGTTGCTACGAAGAATGCATAATTAGCCTGTATAACCATTGGTATTTCATTAAAAAGAAGACCATTTTCTTGTTCTTTATGAGAAGTGTTTTTTTTTTTTTTTTACCTAAAGGCATGTTGTGTGTCACCGCAGTTAAACCGGTGTCTATCATGATAAAACCTTAATATCAAACCTATATAATGAGTTTGGAAATTTTAGAGAAATGCTTAATAAATGCATTACACTGTAACTAAACCAATTAGATTTTAGCCGACTAAATTTACTGTAGATTTAGTCGACTAAAATCGTATGATATTTAGTCGACTAAAACTAAAAAGAATTCAGATGACTAAAATATGACTAAAACTAAATGGCATTTTAGTCAAAAGACTATGACTAAAACTAAATCAAAATTTGCTGTCAAAATTAACACTGCTGCAAAGCAACAAAATGTGATTATTTTAGAAGGGGGTGATTCTTTTCTATACCCACTGTATTTATGTATTCAGCTAATAACTGTTATTTCTCATTTCAATAAAAAATAAAATAACCTAATTGTTCTTTTTTTTTTTTAGGCTACAAAGCAACTAAATGCGATTATTGTAAAGGGAGGTGATTTTTTACTGTATCCACTGTACATGACAAACAGTTCTGAATATGAATACATGGATAAATAAAACGCAAAAAAAAATAAAAGTAGAAACGCAAAAAATAGACACAATCACAAGTTCTAGTGAAGTCTTCACAATCCTCTATGATGCAGTCGAGTGGCAGTTTCTCTCTGCAGATGATGAGGTTGTGGGAAGTGATAATTACATGTTCTGTTAAACTAAATCGAGAAGAAGACATAGGAAACCAGTTACAATTTGAAAGTTAATTGTACATTTTAAGAATTAAATCATTTACCTGTTGAGAGTGTTTTGACATTCTGTGTAATTGGATGGTTGAGCTCCAGAAAATCAATAACGAAATGGCTTTGACAGCTACAGATTTGAAAAACAAAAAGGCGGGAGTAAGAAACCCAAACGCTAAAAAACATTTCAGAATAAAAGGGTTCATTAGGAGAACTGGATAGAACAGTTACTACATGTAGAAAACCTTTAAAGAGACATTTTTTTTCAGTCATTAAAATGTGCAGTACATTTGCAAATAAGTAAAAGTACATACAGAAGATGAAGTGCGTTTCCCATACAATGATGTAACTCACTGATTAACTACCATAATACGATGCATCTTTGGAGAAACTAACTAGCCATGGCTGTGGGTGGTGAAGTCATAACTAATGCTAATTAGTTATTAGCATTAGCATTAATTAGCATAAATGTTCATCAAACATTCATCCGATCGCCACCAAACTTGGTCAACATGATCTCAAGACATTTGAGTTGCTAAATTAACATTAGTTAATGCATTAACTAGCATGAAGTAACAATTAACAATATATTTTTACATCTTCTATTAATAGTTGTTAATGTTAATTAATAAAAATGTCCATGCTCATGTTAGTTCACAGTACTGTGAACAGATACAACTTTACATTTTAATAATGTATTAGTAAGTTTTGAACTTAATATTAACTATGATTAATAAATACTATATAAATGTTTTTCATGTTAACTAATATAGTTAATGTTAACAAATGAAACCTTATTGTATAGTGTTACCAAATTTTTATATAGTGTTCTTGTTCTGTATGTGTGTCTGTTTCACACTCTTGATATTATAGTTTAAGCCTTTAATTGCAGTAACCCTTAAAACCAGACTGCCCGAGAGTTACTGTAAATGCATGTGCCCGCTGTGCCCATTTTCCTGATGCCACGGGGGTGGTGGTTGGACTGGTGGCTTGGGCCCGTCATCGCTGCTTGCAGCTATATATATATATATATATATACATTTTTTTTTCAAGGTTTTTTGGCTTTTGGGGCCTTTAACGTGCTCAAAAACCCCTGAAACTTTGCACACACATTGAAATCTGTGGCCATTATAGTTGGGCAGAGATTAACATGGGGGTTCAAGGGGGGCCCCGTGGCACACTGTTTTATAGGGCCATTTTTCAGGGGCTCTGTAGTGCACACTGTTTCACCTACAGTCACCAAAATTCATACACATATAGATCTTATCAGCCCAAGCAACTTTTGCACTGCATGCCATTAACTCTGCCCAACAGGAAGTCAGCTATTCCCTTTCATTGCTGTGACCCTTAAAACAAGACTGCCAGAGGTTTAAATGGGGGCTGGGGGCTTGGGCCTGTTATCACTGCTGGCAGCTATGTTTAATTAATTTGAGATCTCTGAGATGCTGCTGTGACAAACATGGCATCTGATGACTACTTATCTGTTCACTGTTTTTCACTGTGATTTTAGTTTATTTGATGGCTGGTTCATCGTAGATTCTCTTTTACATCATACTGTATGTTCATGCATTTATGCACATGTACACCCTTTAAAACGGTGCTGATTGTCAACATGCTAAAATATATAAGTTGAAATGTATATATGATATAGAGTGATATAGAATGCACTGCATGTTACCTTTTGTAGCCATGAGCATGATCTATTTAAGTCCACATGTCATACTAACAAGAAGCTCTGCTTCTAACTAGTGGTCGACCGATATATCGCCGTGGCCGATATATCGGCCGATATTCAGAATTTTTAAAATATCGGCATCGGCCGATAAGTCTTTCCACTTTTGGTCGATGTTTTTCAAAGCAGATTATGACACCAGATATTGCATTTATGCTTCATCTTTAAGACAAGCCACTCAGATGTGAAGCCAGCACCTGACAGACAGTAAAATTATCAATCGTCATTCACTTTTTAACGTGATTCTACATTGTGTTACATACAGTAACACTCTGGCGTGCAGCAAAGTCTTATTCAAACGTACCGTGATACATCAGATCCGCAGTCCAGCGGCAGCTCCGGTGGGAGACACAGATGTGATTTAAACAAATTCAAACAATAATTAAAACGTGTTTACCTCACAAACAATCGAAAATCCCGCGACTGTCTCTTCCTCAGATGTGCACGTTGTTCTCGGGTTCTTCTAAACAAGACACTGTTTTCCGGTGGACTCAAAAGCCGGTGCACTCCAGAATGAAAGCTGGGCCAACACGAGAACTCTAATAATAATAATAATAATAAGTTTGAATTCCTTTATATGTTTATTCAGGAATATCTGCTGTATTTGATTGCCCATGATTGGTGTAATATCGCGTGTATTATACCCTTTCGTATGTTCCGGTCTTATTTAATGCTGCTACATGCTGATAACCAAGCATGTAATTATACCTTCAGGCTTGTATTATTTTAACAATGAAACAAACAAGCAAAACGAAACAGATCAGAGACATATAGTATATCTTTATTATTAACAAACTATCCCATACTATAATTAAAACAACCTGTTGCTCGGTAAACTATATATTGTACATAAAATACATGGAATTACACATACTATTTTGGACACAAATTTATGAATATTAATTTGTTCATTAATTATGAATGTTAGAAAGGCTGCACTAAACCATTTAAGTGTTACCTCTGTTGTTTACATGTTTTTAATTGAGGTTTTAATAAATATTTATGCACAATACATGTTCATTTAGTTTCACCAATTTTCTGCATGTCTCTCATTTACTGTAATTACATGCATTACATCAGCCTCATATCGGCCAATTGGACAGATTGGTTTCTCAATATTGGCATCGGCCATTAAAAATCCCATATCGATCGACCACTACTTCTAACCACAGGTCAAGAGCTGTAGTTGGTAATGATCAAACTTGCGACCATCGTTGGATACATTTTGGAAACACGCCTGTGGTTGGGAAGGTTGAATGCTAGATGATTGTCACAGTGCAAAATATTATGTACAGAAACAAGTGCACTGATTAAACATCAACGTGAAGTGGATGGGTGTTGTATCACTCGGAAGGAGTTTTGTTTTTTTGTTTTGTTTTGTTTATTGACCGGCTGGTTGTATAGTACATTTTACCACATACTGGGTGCTAAATTAATAAATACAAATGAAATATGCATTTGAGTTTAAATTATTTTGTTATGTGACAACAAAGAGACAAAGAGGTAAAAGAGACTTGAGCACAGCTATTCATGAAATCAAGGTAAAGTGGGGGAGAATGGGGCCAGTTATACGGTTTAGTGTCATTGAAGAAAAGTATTTGACTGCAGAATATTGTGATCAGCCAACCATCATCAAGTATTCCAAAGAGCCATGTAATAAGTTCCTACATATGCACAAATGTAAATTCACAACGGCTGGCTACGGGAACCGTTCCTCCACAGACACGCAAGGGTCATTGTGTGTAGCTGGGGGCCACGGCTGGCACACAGCTGGGCACCTCATTTCCATTGGCTCCGCAGCAGCCCTCACAAAGGGCCCGCGGAGATGAAAGCACTCGCATATGCGTATGTATGTGTGGTCAAAAATAAACTCTGTCACATTCACCCAAGAGTGTGTTTGCCCGCGTGCACCAAGTCTCCTCATAGGTCAGGGCATCATGGTCCACTCACCAAATAGTCAGCATCGGATTGACTCTAATTTCTTTGATCAGCATCACCAATCTGAAGCACAATTATTAGATCCTCAGAGTTTTCAAAGAGTGCTCTAGCACACTTAAACAGATGAAGAGCAAGTCAAGCAAGTCTTCTGCTCTTCCATGAAGAGACTTACTAGTAAGCAAGTGGTTGCGTGGATTTCAAGTTGAACTTGAATTCGCATGAACACTTTATGATGCAGATCAGATGCAGCCTTGAAATGTTCATTATATGTTTCATACATATGATTATGCTTCTGTAATGCAATCCTTACTCTTATTTGTGCATTTGCAAAACTATAGCAAGTCCTTATGGTCTCTGGACCCACTCCTATACACAACACCACAGAGATCCGTATCAATTAACACCAGAGGGAAAGGCTCATGCCAAGTGCAAAGAGTCTTAATGGAGACATGTGTAAGTCATTACCACAAACACATTGAGAGGGAAGCAGAGGGAGATTGAGAGTGGGCTGTGTGTGGTGAGCTCATGCAAGCATTGCTTATTTCTGAACTTAGGCACAGAACCTGCAGGAGAATCAGCGGTAATGTAGAGTGACAGTAGATCCTGGCCTTAGAGTGCAGTGTGACCTTACGAATCTCCAGTCAAGATCAAACCCACCTTCTGTGCCAGCATGTCCTACATCTGCCGATATCACTGACCGTACTGACACGCTGCAATAGAGTGGAAAGTCTTTTTGGACATGGTACCATTTCCATGGCCGTTTGGACTAAGGATGTTATGTTTTTCTGTTATTTTATTTTATTTTCTATTATTTTATTTTATTAAATAATAAAATGTTTTTTTTTTAAGAATGCACTAAAACAAATTGTAGCTCATCTCAAACCTGTTTCCACTTCAGTAAAATAATAATAATAATAATAATAATTTAGATCCTAACTATTTAGTTAAACATGTACTTGACAGCAAGTGATCACCATACATTTTTGTTGGATGGATTTTTTATTTTTTTTTTTACATGATACAATACTAAGTTTTTTTGTGTGTCATTGCCATTCTTGGCATAGATGGGAATGCTGTAGTCTCTCTAACATACCATGGCGGTATAATGGCATTGTTGGAGAACCATGTACAGTAAATACCATGGTACGTGACTGTGACAGCCATTCAGTACCCTCCTATAATATATCAAAGTGTCATCTGGTACCATCCCACTACCATGTTACCACCACAGTACTGGAATTACGGCCCTTCCCATGTTCCTGTTTTGATCTATGTTATGTTGAAATTGGTACTTGATTATACAGAAACCAAAAGTGAGGGGAAAATATCCCGTTCCCATGTGCGTAAGATTCCATGAATATATGTGACTGTGTGATTGTGTAAATACACTTGTGTTTGTAGGTCTCAGGACACCCAGGGCCAAAACAATGGGAAGGCGTCGCACGTCACACTGCTCCTATTGTTCCCGGGTCCTCCTTTTCTCTCTCGCTCTCTCCTTCACACTCTCATGTCTAGCCTTGGGAGTCTGTCTGACAATGGCAGCCTGTAATTGGAAAGACACTGGATTCCTCGGTTGGGTGTGTGTGTGTGTGTGTGTGTGTTAGTAGTGAGCCTCCATCTCTGCCTCCATCCCTCCTTTAAGCCAAGCCTCTGCTCCTCTCTTCTCACCCCGCGCTTCCTGCCCCTCTGTGTCCTCCAACCACAGTCACTTCAGGCCAGTGTCGAAGCGAGAACGGTCTAAGCTTGTTTTAAAGGAATGGTTGACACAAAAATGAAAACTGTTATCATTTGCTCAGCCTGATGTCATTCCAAGCCCATATGACTTCTTGTCTTCTGTGAACACAAAAGGAAGACTGTTGACGCTGATCCATAGACGGAAAGCTCCAAAACGTTCAAAATAGCACCACAAAATCAGCACTGATGTAGACTGTTCATCTATGAATATCTGTATGCATTTAGATTTAACAGATTTAAATTTGGCTTTTATTTACATATAAACTCTGATCAGTGTACATACATGGAGCACATCAAATATGATAAACTGAAGATCAAACAAAAACACACATTTAATTCAAAATGACTTTATTTGTGATTTGAGAAGATCTTATGGGTTTGTAATGACATGATTGTGAGTAAATGTTGACAGAAGTTTCTTTTTTTTTAGGGGGGGGTGGAATATCCCTTAAATCAGTATTTTTGCCCTGTTTGATCTGTGCTGCTCAAGCCGGTTCAGTCTGATTTGGTGAACTGGTTCAAAATAAGGATTCGATCCAAACCGGACATCGTTCCAGACCGTTTGCCTGGATTACAGGTAATGATATTGTAAATAACGTTCAGTTTCTTGCACAGACTGATTATTTTGCTTCATAAGACCTCAATATATCGTCAGAGCCACGGGTATTAATTTTGTGTTCCTTGATATGCTTTTCATATTCTCAAATATGGGCAGTTGCTGACTTGCATTTTGTGAATCAACAAGGCCCACGGCTTCAGCTAAATATCTTCTTTACTGTCCTACTGATGCTACTTTATGCTTAAAACAAGAAGAAACTATTTGAGAAGGGGGTAAGAAAAATATATTTAATTCTTAATCATTTTTTATTATTTACAACCCTTACCAAAAAGTATATACTTCAAGTTTATTTTATTAAGTATACTTAAGTAAAGTTCAAGTATATTTTTAAGTATACTTTATGCAGTAAGTATACAAATATCAGTGTACTAGTAGTATACTTGTCAGTGTACTATTTCAATACTCCTTGGGACTAAATTGGCCCACTTTCTAGTATATGAAAGTATACTTTTAAGTATACTTTAAGTATAACAGTAGTAAACTTTGAGTACACGACTAGTTTACATCTATGTTTTTAGTTTGTACTGCAACTATACTAAAAGTGAACTTATAGGTATACTGATAGTTTACTAATTAAATACTTGTAGACCATGTCTGCATTTGTGATCGGAGAAATGACTGTAGGAGCCATACTTACTATCTTATTTAATTTTTCTATATGTTCACTTATATATTAGTTTGCTGCTATATTGTTAATGTTGTTTATTTCTCTGAGTGTGTGCCCTCTATAGGTGTGAAGGGAAAAATGTTTAAAAGTATATGCCACCCCTGACAGGAGGGGGGCACTGGTGTGAGAGCATACAATCTTTCGACCGTGCGCATGGAGCTAAGATGGCATGGTGCAACAAGCCTGCAATTAGCCTTTAAGTTGTTTGTTTGTTTTATGTTGCAATTCAAGTTAAGTTTGGTTTAATAAACTTCAGTTATTGTTTGGAACTTCAGCAAGCCTTTCTGGATCTATTCATGGTGCTTTGCACGCGTCGGAATATTGCATCAACACCTCCCACAGTGGCCAAGAAACAAGGGACAAAATTGGAAAGTTGAAGCTTGTTTTTACCACTACACCCACAATTTCAAGAAAAAACAGAATTGCGAGATACACTCCAACTTTGAGAAAAGGGTCACAATTGATATAAACTTGCAATTTCAAGAAAGGCAGAATTGCAAGATAAAATTCACAATTTGAGAAAAAAAATCAGAATTGCAAGTTATAGTCACAGTTACTTTTTAAAAAGATATTTCTGTCAGAAATGGGCTTCTATTAGTGAGTCTGAGACCATCAGTGATCACGCTTCATCCTGACGAGGTGTGTGTGTGTGTGTGAGAAACAAGGGACAAAATTGGAAAGTTGAAGCTTGTTTTTACCCCTACAATATGTTGAAAGACTTTGCTTTGAAAATGGAACTTGTTTGAGAAGAGGATTAATTTTGTACTTGAATGGAACGTTTGAGACCGCATGGCATTGGAGACCGCAAACAAAGGAAACTTCTCAAAGAGGTATGTGCTTGAGTATGCAGTTTGCTGAGCTAATACTGAGTTAAATTTGAATGTTATTGGAAAGACTTTCAAGTTTGATGCTGCAGACAGTGGATGAAATAATTCATTTGATGGAAGAATTCAAAGCTCTTTATGTGTGTAATTTTTAAAGAAGAATCAAAGGAAATTTGAAAAAGTTTTGTCTTGGAAAGAGGATATTTGCTTGTTTGAGGCAAAATGGAGGAGTCTGATGTAGAACAATCCCCAAGCTCAGCTCAGAAGGACTTGAATGAGGTTGCTGCTGGTTTAAAAGCCTCCAGAGCAGGCAAGATGGCACATCTTACAAGGCGAATGAATATTGTTAATTCTTTGATGGCTGATGTTTAATATTTGGAAGAAGTGAAGGGGAACATGTTAAAGTTCAGTGAACAGCTTGTTGAATTTAAGTCTCTTCAAGAATCCTATGTTCAAGTGTTAAGAGAAGAGGATAAAGCTGAAGACTTGAAAACCTGGTATGAACCAAGAATGAAGCAGTTTGATACGTTTATTTCTACTGTTGAAAGGTGGATGTCTACTGTTCAAAAACCTGACTCTCAAGCCAGTACTCAACTTTCTTCTGCTCTAAAAGTCATTGATCAAGTAAATGAAGATAATGCCTCAGTGGTTTCGTCTGTGCGTAGTAATAGATCTGGCAGATCCAGCAGATCAAGTTCAAGCAGAACAAGTGTGCAGAGGCAGAGAGAGCAGCATTACTTGCAAAAGCCAATTAACTGCAACGAAAACAT